CTACTTCTTTCTGCTGCTTCCACAAGGGTTGTAGCTGTCGTTCCAGAGGTTATTAGTGTGTTACCTGAGACCTTGAAGTTTGCAGGGAACCCTGAACGAAGTCAGCAATGACAACCAAGATAAAGGCATGAATGCTTCATGTTTCGTACTTCCGTGTACATGAAACGAATGTTCTGTTACTTAGCCCAAGTCTATAATAAGGCTAAAGAAGCCGATGGTCGCGCTGTAGACAGAATTTTGGAATCGCCAAGCTAGCCTGCGGAATTTCTCCATGAGCTTGGGGTCCGTCGATGCATTATCTTGGCCCGACATGCTAGCCAAAGAATCCTCATTTCAGCACCTCACGGGGGAGCAAAATACCCTGAGCAGACGTTGAGGTCGTGTGCTTCTTCGTTTTGGAGCATGTTCCGGAAGCCTAGCTTTGATTTACGGTTGTGGAGTGTGCGTGCTTGGCCAAAGCGCAAAGCACCGGACACAGAAAGAGCCTGAGGACCCACACCAAGCTGCGCGTGGCATTGCGAAGTTGCTTCACCCAGGCCTGGCTTGTCGATGGAAGAGTTGAATTACGGCCAGTTCTCGTTTTGCGCTCTGTGCCTCCGGCGAAGTAGCTACAGCTCTCATCGCTGCCAAGTCAGAGTAACGAAAGCCGAGTCTAAAGTGCCACCCGGTGCACATTTTGCACGGATAGGGCTCCTAGCTGCTTCTAGCCGCTTGAGTTTCGGCGCAACGTGTGTTGCAGCGCAGTTTTCGGGGCCATCCTGCATCCTCCGACTCTACTGATAACGTTACCGGGTTAGGTGGATCATCAGTGCATTGCAGGTGGATATCTCTTGCTGGGCGCTCCCTTCATCGACGGCACCGCTCTTAGCGCCTTACTATAGGCTTTATTTGCTTTCAAGACGTCCGTTTGGCGTGGAGGAGTGCACGGCTGCCCTGACGACTTCTTCCGCTACACGCCGGCAGCTCGAGGCTGTTTAGAACCGGAGCAGACGTTGCGTCAATGCTAAGGCCTCACGGGCTGCGAAAGGTGGCAGAGGGAGCCAAGCTGGAGGCCTGCACCATGTCGAATTGTTAGTGGGGTTGGAATCGCGCGATGTGCGATGCGGCAGAACCGCCCACGACTTACTGTCCCCATGTTGGATCTTACTGGAGAAAGCAGGAGTGACCGGATCGGCTATGCACCGTCAATCAATATCAAGGTTCAACTCGAGGAGCACCTGCTCACTGCAGAGCAGGTTTTTTGTCAATGCGTGTGCTGGGCAGAAATTCTGAAAGCCTGGTGGCCTCCGGCTTTGGCTCCGAACTGTCTCCGATGAGTCTAGTCCGTATCAGGTGCTGCTCGAGTTCTCTCCCGGCACGACGGTAGCTGCTGCTGGGGACGCTTGCATCCATATTCTTGCACGCAAGCTTTGGTCGGTAGCTTTGTCCGTCCGAACCTGACGGATGATCAGGACTTTGTTGGCATGCGGTCCTCTTATTGGCGAACGGAGGAGGGACAGATGCAGTAGCGGCCAGCACCTCCAACAGATACGCGGGCCTGATGTGTGTGTGTGTGTGTGCGCGTGCGTGTGCGTGTGCGTGTGTTGCTGTACGTGTGCAAATCCTGTGGTGCCGTGCCAGCGATGCCCTTCGCTCCAACTATTTGTCGCTGGATGAGGATTTGTTGAAGCTCTCGGACACTCACCCAATGAATGTGCTTTGGGCTTAGCTAGCTGCTTCTGCTGCCTGCCGCAAACACGACATGTGGCATCACTGGAGATGCGAGGTTTCTTCTGGCCAGAAAGCCGTTGATGCCTCACCAGAGGTGCAATGACTCGTTCCCGCTCGCTGTTCTTTATCTGCGTGGTGCACTCTTTGTCTCTTTTTGTGTTGAAACAATGAATACTCGTAACACCATACACACCCGAGCCTGCGCATACGGATGTTCGCTACTTCATGCATGCTCCCGCCCTCTGGCTGCAAGAATGAAACGTAAAGGAACTGATGGAAGGTAGCAGCAAGAAGTGGAACCTTAGCACGGAATTGGGGTCGGTGCTTTGGGGTTTCGTTTCAGGGGACAGGTGCCAGGGCGGGGGGGGGGTGGGGGGGGGTTGGGGCTGGGGGAGGGCGGTATGAGTGCTTGAAGAGGCATCGGAGCGCGGGTGATTAACCCGTCACGTTGCTAGGCCGATATGTGTCGAGGTGAAGGACCCTCTAAGCTGTTGGAACAACTTGTCTGGTTAACTGAGTACTCACGCCAGCGAACGAGGGGTAAACCTGCAAACTAGTCGCAAGTACATAGCTTCATTTACATGGGCAACCCGGAGGGCAGTATAGTAACAGGACTAGCAAGACAGAGTACTGCGAATGCATTCGCCAAGGATTTTTTCATTCATCAACAACGACAGGAAAGGGCTCGCAGACGTTCAGTGACGATTAGACACCGTCCGACTCAGTATGAACAGTGCCAACTGGAACCAATCATTCAGCAGACGAATCCTCACCCTTTATAAGACATCAGAATCAGAGTCTTTGGTCCCGAGGGTCCCATAGTTGGGCATTGTTGCCATCACACAGGACACTCCACTTTTGGCTTACTAGTAGAGTCTGGTAGAGCTGAGGCAACGGTTTCAGTTGGTGACCTTCGCGTTTTCGGCATTAACATGTCAGTCATACCTTGAGACGTCCTCCTCACACGTAGGAACCGACCGCTACTGGCTTCCGAGCGAAACCAATACAACGCTTAGCCAGCAAGCGGCAGAATCCACCCAAGAACACATGAAACACGATCTAGTCACGTCATAGAAAAGAGCAAAACCAACACCAAATGCGTAGCAAAGCAAAGTACCAAAATCAGCGATCAGAAAACAACAACTAGAAACAGAAGACGCGACATACAACTTCAACCATAAGCGCCCCAAAGCCACACACAGAAAAGCACCACGTAATCCTTTCAGAAAATCACAACGAGAAGCATAAGATGAGACTAGTATCAACAATGAAGGACAAAACCCACGCACTGAAGAGAACCACTTAAGAAAGGGCTTTGCAGAGGCTGAGTGCTTCATTGCCTGTTGTGCCCCGAAGCCACACAATGAAGGACATTGTTTGTCGCCCCAAGACCACGCAGTGAAGGGAGCCACTTCCCTTCACAACCTCAATGAAGGGAACACCTCCTTCCCTTCATGGTTTGTTTTGCCCCCGCTCCTTCCCTTCAGAGCCTTTTTTGCGCCAAAGCCGTCCGAAACTACACAATGCGACGCAATGAAGGAAGCCACTCTTTTTCACCTTCCAGTTTTATTGCAGCCTAGCTTCACCGGGAGTTTTGTCGCCAAAACAGTGGCGTGAAAGGAGCGCGGCCTCCCTTCACTTTCACATCGTTGCGAATACAGCGTCATTCCATACAGGAGAGAGCCGGGGCACATGGGGTAGTGCTGGACATGCATAGAACAGCTCGCTTTTCCGCCCAAGTACGGTCAATTCCTGTGCCAACGAAGCTGTTCCAAGACAGGGGGAAGGGCGGTCTGATCAACCAACTATACCTACAGATGCACAAAGCCTTTTCATGGAATGCGTGGAAAGGTCTCAGTATCTGCAAGGTTTCCTGAGTTCCTGTCAGGGCTCGGAGCATGCTTTCCTCGGGTCCGCTTGCATTAGGGGTACGTAGGTTTCCTTCTAGTGTTGATGTGTTTTCTGCCAAGTGCAATAAATAGATGCACTACTAATCAACACGATCATCATCTCATGTACTTTCTACTCAGCAAGGCTCCTAAGAACTCCATCAAGGATCAGGAACTACCAGATCAATGGACCGCAGATTTGAACCCACCCGACTCAAGTGTGGGTGTGTGTTTGCATGTATGGGAATGAATGGGTGGGGGTGGGTGGGCGGCGTGTGCGCGCATGCTTGCGCGCATGGTTACGCCTGCATGGCGGAAGGGAGTCGAACATGTTTTCGTCTTTTGCATGGAACCTTCCGTCGCAGCTGAGCCGCGAGGTGAACTAGTTGCATGAAGAACAGCTAGGTCCAGCAGCTAGATTCCAAAACTAGGTCTGCAAGGCTACAGAAACAAGCCGCTGCAGCTAGTCATGCAGAGCAGCGCCCAAGAGCGACCAACCATTGATCAAACTGATGAATTCATGCGGTTTGTCATGGCATGCAACTTGCGGCTAGTGATACTCGGAATACGCTTGCAGTTGCCTGATGCACTCCGATGAAGCGTTGTTTGTGATAGTGGGCAGGTGCGAGAATGTCGTTATGAGAGGGTGGGTCTCCCTCGAGCTAACGAATGACTTACTGTAGGTCATTCGGTATTCAATGTTCAGGATGCTGAATGTGACTTCGCATTTCTTGTGTTCTCTTGAATCTGCAAGGCGAACTTGGGCGCGGCACAATCAAACTGAGGGGACCTGAGTGCTGCTTGACAGTATGGCTTCCAGCACAGCGCAATAGAGCAAACTGGCAGAGCTACCTTACTGTCTCAGCTGCTCGCCCAGTCTTTTCCGCTGGATATAGCGAGACATCATAGATGCGGTCACTTCCGAGAGATTTGGCACCCAGCTCGTCGGACTCACCGTGGAGTGACTAGTGTAGGCTGTTTGTACCCTTATGCCACTGTGCCAGGAATTTCACGCAGCAACAATGCGAGCTACCGGCCAAACCCGACAGCTCGAAGCCGACTGCTGGCATCAGACATTGTAGGCATGGGAGATGTTATGATCGCGTAAGCATCCCCGATCCTTCGCAGACCAGTCCCCACCCGGCTCCTGACTCAGCGCTGCTGGGCATAGGCTGTGAACACGTGGAAGTGTCGTTGCAAGACAAGATTGAAGCTCGAGACGTGGTCTGATACCAGGCATGCCCTAGTTTTGGAAGCAGTGTCTTGGTTGTCATTATGGTGTATTGCTGGGCTAACACCGGTTCAACACTTGGTAAACTCACTTGAAACCCTTATAGACCCTTAGGTCAAAGTCTGGTAAAGATGATCGGCACGCAGAACCCTCGCAGATGCCGGTGTCGAAAGGATGTCTCACGAAATATCGGTTGGCCAAGCGGAGAGAATGAATCTCGAGAACAAATCGTTGAGTCCCAGGGTGCTGTACTTTGTCGTGTTATGGCACCCGTTCTTCTGGAACAAGTGCCTATTCCGTTGCTGGATCGTTGATGTAGTGGCATGAGTGTGGACACTGTGACAATGAAACGTCCTCCTGGTAGATTGACATGGTTGTCACGTGGGCTTGATGTCAAAATGTCATCGTATGTCGGTCGCAAACTTCACTTCCGCTGCTTCAGCTTCTTCTACTCGAGCGAATTCTTAATTGAAACCAGTTCTCGCGTGCTTCTGCAATGTCGCACGCCTCGGATGAAAGTCCGCCTGCCATGTCGGACGCCGCCTCGGAGCTGTCGGAGGAGGCCTTGGGGAGTCGTGCGCGGGTCAAGATTCGATTCATTGCACTCGGACTATTTTTGGAGGACTGGGCGGAGTGGGTGGAGGACGAGAGCGACCTTCGCTGCCACGCGGAGGCGCTGGAAAGGGGGCCTTTGGCAGCCCCCTCCGAGGAAGCGACGGGCTTAAGCTGCAACAGATAGGGCTGCAAGATTGCCTGGAGCGATTGCGGATTGCTGTTAGATCGCCATCCTCGAGAACCCGGACCAGGACATCGCAAAGCAGGCTGTGGACCGTAGTTTTTGGCCCCTATCCAATCTTGGATCAGTGCGAGGCGCTTGCGATTGTCCTGGAACGGCTCGACGGGCGGAGTGGCATGGACTACTCCGGCCCGGAGGATTGGTTGGAGGCAAGTGCGTGGCTGTGCAACGTGACCGAAATCACATGCGTGAGTGTGTTCTCCAAGTCTTTGCATTCGTGTATGTATGTGGCAGCAGCCGAACCGGAACCATGAAGCGATTCCAGCTCCAACTCGGGGGGTCGGACAAGGCATATTAGGCAGGCCAAACCGGTCTCACACACACACGGAGCAGGAACATGCACATACAGACAGAGATACATACATATATGTATACATATATACATATATACATACATATGCATTACAGTGTACATGTATTTGTATATACACATGAATGTTTATGTACACACATCGACATATACACATGTGTATGTATATATATATATATATACGTATATATCTCGGTACATCTATATATATATATGTATATCTATGGACACATACACATGTGTGTTTATAAACACACACGCACAGTATTACTTTGCGATGGCTTGAACAAGAGGTTCCGTAGAACATGGTAGAAAGTCTATGTCGCATTCAACAAATGAACATACGCACACATTGTGTGAAACCAGTCTGATGTCGTATCTATCCTTGTTTTCGCTCGCTCTCGCTCTCGCTCTCGCTCTCGCTCTCGCTCTCGCTCTCGCTCTCGCTCTCGCTCTCGCTCTCGCTCTCGCTCTCGCTCTCGCTCTCGCTCTCGCTCTCGCTCTCGCTCTCGCTCTCGCGCTC